TGAACCCGTACATTAATATTTTACATTAATATTTGACATTAATATTTTAATATTTACCTGCATGGGGTTCTGATGGGATATCGTACATTAATATTTGTATTTTATTTACCTGCATGGGGTTGTGATGGTTATCTGAACCCGTACATTAATATTTTACATTAATATTTTACGTTAATATTTTAATATTTACCTGCATGGGGTTGTGATGGATATCTGAACATACATTAATATTTTACATTAGTATTTGAATATTTACCTGCATGGGGTTGCTGAGCTCGGGGCAGCTATCGCAGGCGTCCCCGACCCCGTCCCGGTCCCGGTCCGTCTGCATGGGGTTGGGAACCTGGGGGCAGTTGTCCAGAACGTTGGGGATCCCTGAGAATATTAAAACAGCACAAAACAGCTCAGTCAGGACTGGAGCCCCTCTCACCGGGGGAGGAAACGGGTCACAAAAATGAAAAAAAAATTAAAACAAAAATATTTGTTTTCATTAAAAAAATTGTTTTTACTTCATTTAACAATGCTTTCTTGTTTATGTTTTTTTTTGGGTTTAGGAAACGGGTCACAGGGGCGAGTTGTGTACCATCATTTCCTGTTTTATTTTGAAAGAACAGCAACAGTTCCTAGTCTGTTCCTCTGTGTGTTACCGTGTAGGCTAATTCCACCTGCTCTCTCTCTCTCTTTCTCTTTCTCTTGCTCTCTCTCGCCCCCTCTCTCTCTCCGCCCCCCCCCCCCCCTCCACCCCGCCTCCTGGAATGAGTTTTTTTTTAATCCTTCATTCAGAAACGTTTCCTTGTTTTGTTTGTTTTTTGTTTTTATTTAAGTTTTTTTGTTGCTTTTTTTGCTGCTTTTTTTGCTTAGTTTTGGATTTTTTTTCTTTTCTTAAACTTTTTCCAGATTTTTCTCATTTAACAATGTATTTTTGCTTTTTTGTTTTCATTAAATTTTTTGTATTTTTTCTGTATTTTTTATTTTATTTTTTTTCATTAAAAAACATTTTTCCCTTAATTTAACAATGTTTCTTGTTTAGTTTTTTTGTGTTTTTGTTGTTTTGTTGTCCGATATCGATTTTAGCTGTGGCTGTTCGTTTTTTCTGTCACGTAATAACACTTTATAGTTTTTTTGTTTGTTTGTTTTTTCATTTCATGACCAACTTTTTTTGGTATTTTTTGTGGGTTTTTTATTTTTGTTTTCATTAAAAAAAAACGTCCTTCATTCGACAGCGTTTTCTTTTTTTGTGTTTTTTCTTTTTATTTAAAAAAAAAAAAGTTAATTAAACAACGTTTCTTGTTGTCTTTGTTTTTTGTTTTCATTTAACTTTTTTTTCTGTTTTTTTTTTCATTTTAAACAATTTTTTCCTTCATCCAGCAACGTTTTCCTTGTTTTTTGTTTTAATTTAATTTAAATCCTTGTACTCCTGAAGCCGGAGCTGTGCCCTGCCTGTTATTTTTGGTTTATTTTAGTTATTTTAGCTTTAGCCCCACCGTCCCCGTCGATGTCCTGGTCGCAGGCGTCCCCCTGCCCGTTACTGTCCGTGTCCTTCTGCCCGCTGTTGGGGACGGTGGGGCAGTTATCGCAGGCGTCCCCGAACGAGTCGCTGTCCGAGTTCTGCTGGTCTTTGTTCGGCACCAGCCGGCAGTTGTCCTGCGGGAGGATGACAAACCTCAGACAAACGGCGCCAAAATGGTGTCCAAACGGCGCCCAGAAGGCGCCAAAATGGTGTCCAAACGGCGCCAAAATGGTGTCCAAACGGCGCCCAGAAGGCACCAATATGGTGTGCAAACGGCGCCAAAATGGTGTCCAAACGGCGCCTTCTGGGCGCCAAAATGGTGTCCAAACGGCGGCCAGAAGGTGCCAAAATGGTGTCCAAACGGCGCCAAAATGGTGTCCAAACGGCGGCCAGAAGACACCAAAATGGTGTCCAAACGGCGCCAAAATGGTGTCCA